GAGAGAGAGAGAGAGAGAGAGAGAGAGAGAGAGAGAGAGAGAGAGAGTTTTACATAATCATTATCACGAATGATGTATGAGCGTGTGTGTGATAGTATGTTTGAATTGCATCTCCTTCACACATGTAAATATTAATAAGAAATGTTGTTACCGGAAGATTTGTGGACGTCATGTCTCCAGTATCAGATTTTTCTCATTGACATAATGTGGATGCATGAGAATTTACTCACAAATCTTAATCTGATGCAAATTCATGTAATGATTTCTCACCCTATTTGGATATTTTCCGCTTGAGAAAATCTCAAGCATTCCCCATTGACATGTTTTCAATGTGCCCATATTGAACAACATGCAGATTCCTTATCTATCTATCTCTCTCTCTCTCGTCTGTTGATTGCCTGTCACATGTGCAGAGAGAATAGGATGTCGATTTTGTGATGCGTAGCAAATGATAATAATGCGTATTGTGTTCACTGTTTAGTTGATATGAACGGTTGGTTGCCGATTACAGTCGGCCTCCGTAAATGATGTGGGAAAAAGCCGAGAAAAATGTCAATGATTTCAGTAAATGAAAAGGAAGACTAGTGCTGCGTTACTAAAATCAAAGATTCGCGTAACTTAAACCCACATAGCACATATATTTGACTTCATAAATATTTGCTAAATTAATTAACTTGAGGCAATGGAAGCACTCAAGCAAAATCCAACGCAAATATGTATTCACCTGTGACACACTTACTATCTTCCGCCCGAGATTCGTGTGTTTGTGTGTGTTCTTCCTCGGAAAATGCAGATTAGTGTGTGAATCAAATGCGAAATACCGTAATTTAATCTAATTTATTTATTCGAGTTCGGAACACCGTTCGTTTTTTTTTTCTCTTTCTTTTCTGGTTCATTCTGTTTGCTGGTTGTTCTTATGTTTGCCATTTGATCCCATTTGACTAATTAATTAATTCACTATTTCATACCGTCAACTAACCGTTGTGTGTTGTGTATTTTTCTCTCTCTTCCTTTCTCATTTACATTATGCAATCAGCAGTTAGTTCGATGAAACCGGCATACGATCCGAATAATTGTATTTTAGTGCAGGATGTGAAATCGGTGACACATGATCACATAAGTCAAAATTCCGATGGACCAACGGCATCACCGACTGAAGAATCGTTGCTCACAAGCACCGCTGAGCATAGCAGTTACACCACCCAACAACAGCACACATCACAACAGCAATCGGCTCAAGGAACGAATGGTGTACAAAGTAGTTTGTCGCAAGTGTATCAGGATCCACAGTATATTGCACAGCAGGCCCATCAAACGCAGCAACAACAGCGGCCAGTCCTTGAGCTCCGTGAATTCAACGAACAGTATCATGCAACCATACCGCCATATCAATTTTGGAATTCGGAATTCAAGAATAAGCATCCAGCATTTATCCGTATCAATTTCACACTTCCGTGGGGTGCAAATTTTGCGGTTTATGGTCGTCGTAATGTAGCACCCAGTGTTACACAATACGATTTCGTTGAATTCATCAAGGGCGGACGCATCGATAATCGGTTGCGACGTCGTCGCCGTCGTAGCTCACCAACGGAACCCATCGATGATGATGATGAACAAACGATTCTTGACATCAACAATTACTATGAACACACCAAGGATATGTTGGCCGACGAAAGTGGAAGAAGACAAATGCATTTCGAACCATTGACCATTGCTGCTCATCATGCACGAAGTGCAAGCACAAATCACAATGGCAATGACATCCAATCGGATATTTCGATTTTGCAGCACAATGGCCAACCATCACATGACACTTTTACTACCAATTTCATTCGGAACAATTTACATTTTTCATCAAACGACGAACATTTAATATCGAAGCGTTCGGCCATCGATGCTGCCCCATCGCTTGACATGAACACGATGATGGTGAATGTGAGCTTATTACAGTATCTCGACACTGGCCGCTGGTTTTTGTCCGTTTACAATGATGAATTGCTGGCACACAGTGTCACACTAATTGTGGGCGAAGCCGAAGGTGTCAGCACAACATGCCCGAATGATTGCTCCGGTCGTGGTTCATGCTATCTCGGCAAATGCGATTGCATTGATGGCTTCCAAGGTGTTGACTGCTCCAAAAGTAAGTAGAGATTTTTTTTTTTGTATGATTCCAAATGATTTTCAGTCGTGAAAATGGTTTTGATCCAATTTATTAATTGTAAAACCCACAAGAAAACTCTGTCGAGCGTAAAATTAGCTAGCGACCCTTTACCACCGTCATACTACAGGCATGCATGCATGTGTGCGCATTTCAATTTCTTCTAGTCCGCCTCCATATTTTACATTTTGCACGTTCCCTGCGATCTAATAACATTAAAGATTAAAATCTTTCGATCGAGTATGTGAAGAATCATTGATTGAATTTCAAGATAAATCCGGCAATGCCAAACCCCATACACACACTAACTCGAACGTTTTCTTTTTTAACCGACAAAACGATAAATATTTAACATCAACCAGCACCATCATCGCCATTGCCGTCGCGTTTTGCTGTTTCGCTCAACTGAACAATGTGTTTTTGGTTCGGGCAAATGTTATTAAATCGAAAATAAATGAGAGTTGGAATTGGGTTTAGATGAACGAAAGAGAAAGATTGCACGGCGCTGTCGAAATGGGAATAGGATTGAAGCATCGTATTATGTACTTATTGATGTCGGATTATATATTTATGAGAAAGATCCATTTATGCAGCACAGAAGAAAATAAGAATCGAATCTCTGCCATATCGTTAGCTAAACCATTTTTCCACATTACTGTGTTGTGGGGTGCACGTGGGTGGTGCGATATCAGTATTGAATGCAAAATTGCAGTTGAAACATGCAAAAAAAAGCAGATTATATTACACTTTACGCGCGCACACGGCGTGGGACGATGATGTGGATCGAATTGAAGAGAGCAATTTTTAATTAGAAACAACACAAGCAACAACAACAAAAATGTCAACTGTATTTAATCTTGACACTGATGTGTGATTCTGTGCTCCGATAAACCGTTGTTTGCTCGCCGACTTTTTCCCCATTTTCAAAGGGAATAAAGAATGCAAATGACATAAATGAAGTTAACACACGTCGTCGCCGTATTTATCAAACGAGGCGAACAGAAGAGGTTTCGTTTGTTTTTTCGGGAGAAAGAGAATGCGATGAAAAGTGAAACGCGCAGTAGATCTAATTAAACTAAGCCAAACATGAAAGGGTTATAATCCCCACTGTGTATGCATGACTTTGCTGTCTGGCATATCTCATTCGGAACGGTATCAAGTGGAAAATGATGTAGTTTCACATTTTTCTTGCGCTTTTTTCCCCTCTCATTCTCTCTTTGTCTCTCCCTGGCTGCACCACATCGTGCGAACGACATTCAATTTAGCACAATAGAAAGTGACATGTTTGCTCAGCAGTGGCCCAACAATCGGCCTTATCATCGGCCCGACAAAAAGTCTTTATAATTGTTTTTTTTTCTCTCGAAAGGAGCAAATTATTTCTGGCGGCCTTCTATCGAATTTTTTTGTTTTTACTCGAGCACTCATCATCGTTTACTTTGGCGACCAGGCAGAATAATTACTTTTCAGAACAATTTCAATCAATAAAATAGCACACATACAAAAATTGCTGCTACAAGGCTTTCTTCTGCGCTCTTGCGCGCATACACACATACACCAACCATTTTTTCCATCCATTTTTATTACATTTATATTTTGAATCGATTTGTCGGACCGAAAAAATAAAACGAGAAAAGAAAATCGCTTTGAAATTCGGTACGTGCTATAAAGGCAGAAAGAAAATTTATATGTATTCTTTGCCATTTAATGCTTTGCTCGGCATCTTCTATATTTTCAAAGTTAAATTGATTGACAAAAAGGCGAATGTATGTGTGTGGGAACATCAAAAAGTGTCCGGTTTTGCTACCCTCTTGTTTCTTATCTTTTGTTTGAACGAAATGCTAGTCCCACATTTTTGTTTTCTTCTGTCGTTCACTCGCTCTCGCTCTCTATCGACAAAGTTAGACGTTGAAATCCATTCTGTTATCACTGGATTGCCTTTTTGGAGTAGCATCTAGTATTTCATAGAAAAATGAGCGAACCAGAATAAGAGAGAGAGAAAGCGTCTCCATCTTGATGCTGTTTGCTTGGCTACAGCGTTGAAATTCAATTACCCCAATTTTCATTTTGTCGTCTATTCGCATCGGTTCGTGTTCGTTGCGCATCGAACGTATTCGATGAGCGAGCCGAGCACAACACACAAAGTCTCTCTCTGTCGAAGTGACTGTTTGAAAGGCAAACAAAAAGTCACAATAAAAATCAATCAAAATACAATTTTTCTATTCATAACTCAATTTTCGTTGATTTCGAAGAGAGTGCACACTGGATGATGGGTCTGTGTATGTGTATGTTTGGAAAATTGGAAAAAGAACATGAATATCGTTGAACTTAGAAGTAGATTAGCTAGATATTGGGAATGGATCGATGAGAGCGGGGAAGGCGTTGCAAAAAAGCGGCTACATATGGATTTGAAATTGTCTGTCGTGTATGTGTGTTTTTTTGGTACAATTTTTGAATTTTTTTCTCTCTTTATCACAATAAAACGCTCTTTTCAGACACACAACACACACACGTTCATTGTGTCGGATATGTCTGCGTCAGAAGAATTTTTTTTTCTGATTGATATTTTTCATATATTTATTTTTCGTTTTTTTTCTCTCTTCTTGTGAATGCAGGCGTTTGTCCGGTTTTGTGTTCTGGTCACGGCCACTATGGAGGTGGAATGTGTCATTGTGAAGAAGGTTACAAAGGTGGCGAATGTGAAATCCCAGCAGGAGAATGTCAAGTGCCTGGTTGCTCTGGACACGGTCGATGCATTGAGGGTGAATGCCATTGTGAGCGCGGTTTCAAAGGACATGACTGTTCCGAACGTAAGTTTGTTTTTCTCTCTCTCCCATTCTATGCTCACATGTGATGTTGAAAATGCTCATCACTTGGTGTAATTTTCCAAATCGAAGTGTGTGTGTGCTATTCAAATTTCCATTATTTTGCAGCCGACTGTATGGATCCAACATGCTCTGGCCACGGCACATGCATCAGTGGACAATGTTACTGTAAGTTTTCCTATTAACTATTTAATATTATTTTGGAAAATTGATTACGTTTTGTCTCCATCAAACACACACCGACCGAATGATTTGATTTTGCTGCATTTTTTCTTCATACAGGCAAAGCTGGTTGGCAAGGAGAAGACTGTAGCACCGTTGATCAACAAGTTTATCAATGTTTGCCCGGTTGTTCGGAACGTGGTACCTACGATTTAGAAACTGGTACTTGTATTTGTGACCGTCACTGGACTGGACCAGATTGTTCTCAAGGTATTTTAACATTTTTTTTTCTTTCCTTTGCCAGAAAACCTCTCTTTTCAATTGAATTTCGAGGGTTTTCTTCTTTTACCCACAAGTAAATAGAAAAGAATGAAGATTTTTTTGTTGTGTGGCTTAACATCGGATTTGAAGGCGCTTTCTAAAAACAGAATTAAAAGATTTGCGTCATAAATATTCAATTTTTCATCTCATTCATTTAAGCAAATCAAAGTTTTTTTTCTCCTTGTTGCCTCTATCTATCTTTTTCTATCTTCGCCGTATGCTCCTTAATCTCATCATCTGGATATATATATTGCGGTTCGACATTTCACATTCAAGTGAATTTTCGGGTGGAAATTTAAATGAATTTTTCACATGGTTGCACATCGGTTTTCCATTTTAAATTACGTTTTATCCGAAATCGCATGGCAACGCAAAAATGGGCGGCAGTGCCAAGATGAGCCTATACCATATAATTTGGATTCGTGGTGTCGGTGAAAAAGTTGAAACCTCTTCCTTCGAAATAACCAACAACAAAAATGGCGCATATCATGAATTTATGAACAAAATATGTTCTCGGTATTAAATGAAAAAAAAAACAAACATTTAACCCAAGCGGTGGTTGGGTCTTTTCGTAAATGTTCATTTTTTCAAGCGGAATCATAATTTTTCGTTAAAATTTTTTACTAATTCATCGTTATGACGCATAGATTCGTATTAATACATCTCTCGAAATTTACTATCAAATCGTAAATATCAAGCGAATAATTTCGATGGCTTTACGTTTCCACAAAGAAGCAACAACAAAAACACACAGAGAGACAGACAGACACACATTGCATTCGTTTTGCTAACGGAAAAGAATACCATATAATTTTTTGTCATTCCCGTTGGTCATAAAACATATTCGTGCTGGCAAATGATAACGAACCAAGCCATAAAATGAATGAAACCGTCAGAGACACAGAAAGAAGCATCAACAGCATCAGCCGTACCCGCACGCACCATTTTGCCTTCATCGTAATAAATGAAAAGTTTTACGATCGACCACAGTAAAACGTGCACGTGGTTAAATAGATTTATCACATATTTTTCGAATTACGTTTTTACATCGGGGTGCTGACGTTGCCATCAAATCGAGAGTGTGGCCCATGCATTTTGCAAGAATATTCAATCTGTAACCATTTTGTATGTTATTACGATTTTCAGTTGTGATTTTAATGGCATTTCAGCTTGAAATCACATCGCTCGCACATCGATGCGCTTGCTGAATGGATGGATGAGTGAGTGAGCGTTTGAATTTTGATCTGCACCTTCCGAAACGTGAGATGTTCACTTTAACTTTTCAAGAGCCATCAAATTCGGAAGAAAATGCATCTGAAAAGCGCAGCAATAACTTTTAAGTGCACTATTCAACATATGGCCCGCTCGTCTGTCCCGTCCATTCATTCTCTGTCTGACCATTTGGTTTGTGCGGTGGTGTTTGCGTGCGCATCGATGCCGATGTAAAGTAGTTGTAATTACTTTTCATATGTGTCTAGATGATTGACCAAATCCAATGCCATCAAAAGCGGATGCGCACAGGATATTATGTGCACAGACGAGAGAGAGAGAGAGAGAGAGAGAGAGAGAATAAAATGTAGTTTTTATAGTTCATTGCAGAACATTTTGCTCCACAATGTTATGAGGGCAGCCAGCACCATATTGCTTAGTAAAAATCGTTTAACGAGAGACACACGCATACACACATGCAAAACTCATAACCATAATCAAATGGAAACACTTGACCCATCTGCAGTTCACATTTTACACATCGTCTTGTTATATGATTTCCGTTTTCGGCCGAAGCCTTTTTACTGACTCAAATTCCACTTTTGCGTTCAACTTAAGCTCAACCACTCGAATTTCGAAAACTTTGCATTTTGAGCAGTGTGTGTGCAACGAGTATGGTATATGTGTGTCTGTGCTTGATGCTGCGTATGTAACAGGCCGATAAGAACATGTTCAACCGTCAATTCACTTAAAATAAGGAATTTAATCAAAAGATTTAGCACTTGCCATTTCATGTATTCGAGTATTATTGTTTCCTTCTTTTTCAATTAAATATTATTACTTGACTCATTCATGGTCGATGGCTGACAATGTTCGGTAATTTGATCGAATTTTATGGCATATCAAAAATAAGCGTTTGTCATCTCAAAAGGCCATCATTTGCGACAATGACAAACGATATCGTTGGTAAATTTATTATCAACATAAAATTGTCCGATGCTGCTCTCCAATCCGCAACAATGTCTCAGTCGCAGCGGCGAAATAGAGCGTTTTATCTCTGGTTTGCGCGTGTTTTTAATATCTGATGTGATGACCATGAGTATTTATACGCATGATTTAATAAAAAATACGAAGGAACGAAAAGCTAGTTAAATTCGATCCTATTCCCAATCATGAAACGACACAATTTATGTCATCCTCTAAATTTAATTACTTACGAACATCGTGATGATCCAGATGAAAGTGCGAAATAAAATCTGACGCATTTTATTTATTTTCATATTATATGTTTGGTATTTCAATTTTATTTTTTTTTTTTTCGTTTAACAGCCGTTTGCAGCCTGGACTGTGGACCGAATGGTATTTGTGAATCGGGAAAATGTCGCTGTAATCCGGGCTACGTTGGAAATCTATGCGATCAACTGCCTTGTGATGCGCGCTGTGCTGAACATGGCCAATGCAAAAATGGCACTTGTGTCTGCTCACAGGGATGGAATGGTCGTCATTGCACTCTGCGTAAGTATAGAATTTTTGAATTTTAACAGGAAAAAAAAACACGACATCTTTCGAATTGCACAGAAAGGGAAGAGGAATACCAGAGCGTCGCGTCAGCATTTATTAAAGCGGGCCGTTTCTTGGACATTTTTGAGCTGGTTTTTTTTTTTGCTTTCCATGAAAATAAAATTGCGGCAAAGAAGAAGACAATACGCGAGACATATTTAAATTCGCTTTCATGTAAAGTGACTCCGATAAACGGGCCAATGGCGACGGCAGCGGCAAAAAAACGTTGGAATTTTCACAGCTGGAACATCGTCCACAGCAACAGCAACAGCAGCAGAAAAAAAACAACAAACCAGACCAATAAAACAAACAGAGAGAAACATTCTGTTGACAGTTGACACTTGAAATAACTTTTTTGCGATTTCGTTGGAATGTTCATAAAAATTCAATAGAGATAAGGTCCTGGGAGAGCACAACTCTTCGCCAATTCGATTTGTGCCGTCGTTTGAGTACGAATCGGAGAGAGGTCGGAGACACGTAACACACAAATAAATGCGCAAGAAGACCTCCGAAGACGAACGAGAAAAGGAGAGAGAGAAGAAAAAGTTTGGTTTTCCGCTCGCACAAAACTGTTCTCCGAGGACCAAAACGAACAGACACATAAAAGACAGGTTCCGAGAAAAGGTTTTCCAAAGATTGTAAATTCAAAACAAAAACAGCAGCACTGAATTTCTGTCGCCAAATGAAAGGAAGAGGCGCACAATGATGACGATGACATTTTTTTCCTCTTTGCCTGAACTTGTTTTTTCTGCTGGAAATTTGTCTGTTCTTTGGAAAAATGAAAGTTCCATTGATGAGAAGTAGAAAAAAGTTTGGAAAAAAATAATGAAAATTTCCACTTTTCCATAACAACTTTTTATTCACACATCGACATGGATTGGAAAATTATCGAGAGTGTCTGGAAAATCTATTATCATCATATTAATTCAGCATGATTATCGACACGATTCTCTCTCGCGCGTTGGCTTTTCGAAAGGCTTTGAATTTATGTTCGAATGTGATTTTCAAAGCATGGCCATGAATTACACACAAATGGTAACATTTTCTGTTTTAAGCGGTACGATCATCGTCGACAAACTCACACTATTTTTTCCCTTTCTGTAGCGTTTGGAATTTACTCGTTTTTTTTCGACCAGTGCACTTATTCGTGTCTGGTGTTTCACTATTTTGCTTATTGCATTTCCTTTTTTTCTTTCTCTTTTTTTTGGCATCAATTCCCTGAAGCTGGTTGCGAAAATGGATGTTCGCGTCATGGCCAATGTACACTTGAGGATGGTGAATACAAATGCGTGTGCATCGAAGGCTGGTCGGGTTCCGATTGCTCCATTCAATTGGAAATGAATTGCAACGATAATATTGACAATGATCACGGTAAGTTTATCGCTCTGGTTTCAGCCTTCCATATCTCTATTTTTCCAACCATTTTCGAATGCGGGACGAAGCACCAGCAACAAACGGAAAAAAAATGTTTCGCATTCGAGTAATAGGGTATGCTTCGAATTGGGCTTAAAGGTAATGTATTTTCTGTTGGTTCAGTGCAAACGCGAGCGCTTGTCATTTGTAGGCTCAGCACATAAAACTTTCACACACACACACACACACACACGCACACACGGATAGACCAGCAACAGCGAAAACAAAAAATTGGGCAAGCTGAATTGACTCGTGTCCATTGAACGGAATGAATTTCGAACAGTATTGAAATGCAAAACAGTTGAACCACTTCAGAAAATGTCCGTAGTAATATTTCTGCCGTGCCATAGAATTTCTGGTCGATTTACAAGAGAAGGTGCACTTCGATTTGGGTGTGTATGTGTGTGAGAGAGCGCGATTGCAACAAATTATTTATGCAGAACACGTTATTTTTCCTTGGCATTGTTCCTCGTGCACTATGTGTGCGTTTGCTTGGAATCGCGGAAAATCATAATGGACTTTTCGGTTAATTTTAATGCAGTAAAATCGTTCGAAACAGCGACAAAATTTTGTTTCGGGCAAATGTTTCCTCGACGACCCCGAGCGCCGAAATTGAAAATTTTGTTTGCGTATTGCAAAAATACCAACAAAAAAGTACAACAATCGATGGGAAAAAGCAAACGGAGAGAGCGAAGGACAGAGATGAAAAAAGATGCTTCCGTTTTTCATTCACATTGTTTGCGTCAATGCGGAACGTGCGTGTCACAGATATTTAAGTCAAACTCTGCAGTTTTGCGATGCAATGCCCGAAATTGCACAACATTTTTTTTGAAAATGACATTTGCTCTATTGGGATTTCTTTCGTATTTATTTTTCCGCTGGACGAGCTCAATGCTCACGCTCTCTGTCTCCCTACCTCTCTCACTCTTCCACAGTCGTGTGACTGTTTATTTATGTTTCTATAGTTATTTACCTATTTTATCCCAGCCAATCGTCCCCGTTCACTGTGACAATCCATAACAAACTGATGCATTTTTCTCTCCCTTTCCCATCGAACCATGACGGAAAAGTAGAATAAATTGAATTTGTGATCAGATGACCTGGATATTTTGCTGGTTGCGTTTTTTCTACTCTTTCTCTTTCTCTCTCTCTCTCTCTCTCTGTCTCTCTGTATTTGTGCGCACAACATCATCAATTCAATATCGAGATATTGGACATTGCATTTACCTGGTTTACATAATAAATAGCGTGAACGTTATTCACATACCTCGAATCGAAGCTGCAATAACCGATTGCAACGATGATAATCAAAATGAATCACCGCAAATTTCATATATACAAAACGCGACGCACAGACACACAAACACCGAAAAAATATGCTACAAAGCGCATTGAAGCTTTAGCTTACCGATTAACCCAATTAGGAGATCGTTGCGACACAGCATTCGACACTCGTTGAAATGAAATCCAATCATCTAAATGGATTTGAGATGGGACACAAAAACAGTTCAAAATCCAAGGATTGAAAAATCTATGGGATGAGAGGGGCTCATTAAATGCGCATAGAAAAGTGCACTTCAAATAATGAATTCTCGATTTCCATTGATGTCTCCATTCATTTTTATAAAATGTTTCCGTCATTTGCCATTGTGTTATCAAATATGGATGAGTATTTGCCTCTCTGATTGTACGTCATTATGCATGGAAAATCCTTGGGCAATCGAAACGATTGTATGTCATTATGGCCACGGATATTACATCCGGGATATACATTAATCATTATTCGTCTATTCATATTAAATTAATAGGCGTATTGAGTAATATTCAACGTATATCTAATCACTTCAAACCGGCGAAAATTCGACCCCACTTTTTAAATATCCTGAAGAAATTTTGCGAAAAGTCTTCGCTATTATTAGAGCCTCAAGTTCAAGAGAGTCGACGAGACGAGACCGAAAAGGGTTCAAAATTACTTTTTAATATATCGATTGATTTGCGGTTTTTCAACGAATGTCTGCGGTTCTTTAATGTTTCGTCAATTTCACAATTTTGGTGAATTAATTTCCAGGTTGTTGCTTCCAATTTTATTTCGAAGGAAATGCATAAATTCTGAAAACTTTTGATACAAACCGGTTATTTTGTCATTAGTTACGATTTAAAATGGGTTGGCTGGGAGTGTCTATGTCTGGATCTATCCACTTGATTAAATATTTATAGCAGTGGAATCGCATACCTTCGATCATATTTAAAGTCTCATTTGTCATCTATTTGAAAGGATTGGCTAATCAAAATGACATTTGTATCAAATTGCAGCCGAAACTATTTATTCTTTGAACAAAGGTGCATTAACTAAAAGTTTTTGTGTTTACCTTGTGTGTGTATGCTTTTATACTCCCTTACACAATTCAGCAGGCGTGAAGAAAATGGAAATTTCATTTTTCGAGCGGAAGTTTACTTTACATTCGGAAATTCAATATTCAATGGAAAAAAGTTAGTTAATTGATAAAAGCGGTGATTTCATAGAAAAATGATTAGAGTCCTTAAAATGAATAATGGGCTTAACCAAATAATTGGGTACCCATTGACATAAGAGCAGGCGCTGCTCAAAATTTTCGAATTTTCGTGTCAGATTTAATTGATGTATAATTTTTATTCCATTTCAATTTTTCTTTCTCTCTCTCTCCCCATTTACTCGTAGATGGAATGACTGATTGTTCGGACAGTGAGTGTTGTTCGCATCCAATTTGTGCCGAGCATATAATGTGTTTGGCATCGAATGATCCAGTCGAGGTATTATTGCGTAAGCAACCACCTTCGGTCACCGCCTCATTCTATCAACGCGTTAAATTCTTGATTGAAGAGAACTCGGTTCAGTCCTACGCACACATGGACGAATACAGTGAAAGGTGAGTCATTTCTGATTTCCATGTTCCATCGAAAAAAACGAACAAAAGTTGTTGCTTTTGATTTTTTTTTACATTCGAATTTTGATTTGTATTGATTTTTACGTTCGTTTTTCGATTCCAATATAATATTCAAAACTGAAACTGAAAGAAACACACAAATCTAACAATTATGGATAGGAAAACCAATTTTGTTGTTGCCTTTGAGTTTGCGAGTTGAATAACGTTCATTTTTTTTGGTTTAGAATTTAACAACAACAAGACAATTAAATAACAACATTTTTAGAACATTAAATAACAACATTAGTCAAGTATTTTTGTTCGAATAAAAAACATTATAACAATTCATCTATAACTATAACGAACTGTAGTTTAATGAGGATAACATATATAATGAATGAAATACAACAACAAACGATTTGAGAACAAAAAAAAACGAACTTAAATTAGGCAAACTTTCCGATTTTCTGCTGACACTATTTTTAAGTCTTTTCAAACTACATTTTTCGATGAAAATGTATTCTCTTTTAATGAACGAACTTTTAACTCTATCATTTAGCGAATTTTGAATTATGTTTTCGTTTTGGTTCCGAATTAAATTCAAACGTTGCCTCATTTTCTGATTTTCTTTTCCGATTTGTATTTTTTTTTCTCTTCATTTGTTTGGCAGTTCTATTGTTCAATTTGATTAGAAACGGGTGTAATCATTTCCCGTTTGATAAATTGTGTTTTCATTTCCGTTAGCAATTCGGGTTTTTGTTGGAAATGTGTGTTTTTGCTGTTGTTTTATTGGTTTTCATTTGAATTGCACATTTCCGTGCCGAATTTATGTTTGTGTATCGACATTCGTTTATTTTCAATGGTGTTTTGTTTTCCTGATTATTTTTTTCCCGTTGTTTTTCTGTGTTTCGAAGGCTAGGCCAATTTTTCGTTTAACGCAAACGCATTGAAATGACATTTATTGAATGCAATATTCCAATGTGTTTGCGAGTCAATTTTTTATTTCGTTTCAAATGCAAATAAAAATAAATTGAGAAAAAAATTGAGGGAAATCGACCAAAAATTGTTCGTTGTTAGACATAAAATCGGCAAGAGAAAAAAAAACAGGCCAATTCGCAAAAGTTTTAATTAAAAATGTGAATGGGTTCAAATCGATCGTTTTCCATCTCACTGTTGCCATAATGGCTAAGGCGATGGCAATTAAACCACAGAGAAAACAACACGATTGTAAAATAATTATTGTAAGCAAGTCTATCATCACACGCTGGAAGCGAACATTAGTGCATACCATCAATGTGTAATTAAAAGCACTCTTCACTGTGTTTTTTTTTCTTCATCGAAAAGCATTTCACCTTTTCCAATCGGGCGTGCTTTATTCAACGTAACTCTTCCATAACCAGTTTCTATTTTTGTCGTTCGTTTCCGATGTAAAAGGGGAAAAATTCGTACGAGAGTTAGATAATTTTAGGTATTATGTGCTTGGACAATTAAATCGTTATTTCGTTTTCCCCGCGATGAGCCGCTTCGATGGGCTATTTTGGTGAAAAACGATGATAAAAGCGCGACCCGATTCACGAAACGAGGAAAATGCTCAAAAATATCGACGTTTATTCTCATCGAACAAACACAAACCATTAAAAAAAAATACGACGAGAAAATTTTGTTCCAAAAATAAAAACGATACATAAAATAAACTATTTTCCAACTGAAGAAAAAAAACAAAACAAAAAAAATTCAAAACAAAACCCTTGTCCATACGATCGCTTTAATTCATTTATTGGCCCATTTCAAATGCATGGCATTTCCGTGAGTGCCGAAAAATTTAACCGTAATTGAATCGATTCAAATCGAACTAAATGAACTCCAATGAAAGTTAGTCGGCATCTTTAACGAGCTGACATGAAATGAGCCGATGAATATTTTAGGGCGATTCGTTTTTGTGTGTGTATTGTCTAATATATTTCCCCATTTGTGCTCGTCTTACCCGATATCCCGATCCCAACATTCCTGTGCCCTTTGTTCTCTCAACTAATTTGTAATACAAAACAAAACTTACCGAAAACTTTTAAATCCGACTTCATCAAACCAAAAAAATATTATGATTTTCATTTTAAATAACCAAGAACTTTTAATCGATAAACAAAAAGAAACCGAATTGCAATCAATTAGAAAAATATTCAGGATGATAATAGTAAAGATAAAGAAGAAGCAACCGAAAAACACACCAAAAGAACGTTGGATTTTGATTTTTTTGATTTCTCGAAATAAATACGAGTTCGGCGATTGCGAGCGATTTGCCATGGGAGTGAACGTTATTCGCATGATCAGCTACTTTGATAGTTTCACTTCGGCAACATTGTTCAATGGCTCAACTTCCATTTATTGTTAAACTTTGCGAAATATTCCACAATCTCTCTTGTGCCATTTATTCATTTCGGCGAAATATTTTCCTTGAATGGCATTCAAATTTTGTTGCAACTCAAAATGGAAATGCCCAATTCATTACAACAAACTCTCAGTAGTTGAATTCGTATGCAGAATTTTTCTTCGAATTTCATTTATCTTGTTGGCAATGGAATGAAATATATAGTGTTCAAGGAAAACCCAGCAAAATATCTTTGCATATCTCAAATGTCTAGTTCGTAAGGGTTTCACGTAAGCGCAAAATTTCTATTATTGTTCCAAGAAAAAATATTGTTTACAAAGATATTGCCAAAATATTTCCATTTCCTACCAAAAACTATTCGGCGAATTGGTGATCTGTGCATTTTCGTTCATCTTTTCATCTCTTACTAATACACGCTCCTTTCTGAAATGAAGCGATTCTCATCCTGCAAAACTTTCGATTTAGCACAACGAAAAAAAAGCTGATGAATAATGAAAAGACGAACTGAAATTGAAACGAGTTTTCGTCGACGAAACTGAATCGAAATTATATTCAAACGCGCGATGTTACGAATAGATAACTTTCGCTGTACGCGCAACACAGTCTTCGTTTCCAGACCGCATAAGAAAGGCTAAAGAAGGATGTGGAAGTGTGAGACGCAAGCGGCGAATAAAATTATGCTGTCTAATATTATTATTTATGGCGTAGCGGCATTTTCGTTTGCTAATAAAGCAATAATAATGCAATCAACTCACATGATATACGACTCAGTGTACCTTCTGCCCTGTGCATGCCATTGCCGAGCTAGCGCTCTTTATCGATCCCACGCTGTACGGAGACATTCTGTTTATTGAACTCTCTCTCTCGAAGCAGTTTTCTTGTTCGGTAACAAGCGACTTCCTTGTTCGGTTCATTTTGTCGTTCACATACCCACTCATACATACATTTCCTTTCGCTCGTCTATTGTGAGCGCAATGAATGGGCAACATTTTTCTCGGCTACAAATTTCCAGCTTTTCATCTTCAATTCGTTTACAAGCAACAATAACAAAGCTTCACGAATCAAATGCAAATGCATTTTCATGACATGAGCGCGGTGTAAATAATAAATGCACTCGTGTGTTCGTGAGTTAATCAAAATGCAGAAAAAAACCCAGAGAAATGAAGAAGAAGAAGAAGAAGAAAAAGAGTAAAACTGAATCGCATATAACATTATTACATTTTCTGGGCTCAATACGGATGCCGGAGAATGAGTTTAAATCGTTTTTTTCTCTTTCGTTTGGTGTTTTTTTCTTTCTTCTCACTGCTCCTCGAACCGGAAATAATATGCAGAATCTATCACGTGTTGAAGGGCTGCAATCGCATAAATCATCATTCAGCGAGAATCCAAGCGTGTAGCACAAAAATCACCACTGTAAAATATTTATACATCATACGTAGTTCTCTTCGTGTGTTTTTTTTCTTTGTGTCATTCAAAATAAGTGACAAATAATGAATAACATTCATGTGATGTGTAGGGAAAAAAAATATATATTTGTTCACACTGATGAAAATCGAATAATGTTGCGCTCTCAAATTGCATCCATTCATTGGGAATTGATTTAAAGTTGTCGACGATGTTAAGTGAAAAAAGTTGTGCAGAAAAATGCGATGAATCATTTAATATCCGCACTGTGCAAAGAGTGTCGTGTATATATGAGAGAAATCAAACTGAAAAAATCCTTTCAATGGCTTGTGCTTCGTTCGTCTGGTGTTTTTGGTGTTGCTGTAGCTGCTGCTGCTGCTGCTACTGCTGCGAAAACTAAATAAATAATGAACTTATCGATTCAACAAAGTGAATGAAACTATTTCTTTAGCTTTTAGCGCAAAAATCTCATAGTTAGGATAGATGGTTTTCTTTTTTCCGTCAGTAGTAGGGGCTCAAATCATTTCCCTTTACATTTCAGTTTTGTTTTTTCTCTCTTTTGCTCCCATCACTTCGTTTCGGTTTTCTTTTCCTTTTCTCTCTCGCTCTCCATTTTCACATTTACGTTTTCTTTCTCATTTGTTCTTTATTTTTGATGTTTGCTGTTGCTGCCACTGCTATTGCTGCTGAGAACAAAATCAATCAAAAACTTTGCGTTTTTCTGTTTTTTCCCCTCTCGCTCTCACACTCACACAAACAATCTGTCTATTCTTGTGTGCTTTCATGATAATACTATCATCTCTTAGCATCAACATCATCATTATTATCATTACTTCTCTCTTTTGTGAGTTTTTTCCTTGTTTTTTTTCCTCTTCTTTATTTTCGTTTCGTTTCGGCTCTTTCTTTTACGTATTGTTATTAAATCAACGAGTAAGTGCAACGTCATATCTCTGGCCGAATGCGAGAAGCAAGACCCAAAAAAACCATGAGTGAAAAACACAAACAGCAAGAAAAGCGCGCATGAAGAAGAAGGAGAAGTGGAGAAGGTATGGCGAAATGACGACGTGCATTTAAATCGATCGGGCTGTGATATCTCTTCCGTTCTGTTCCGTTCGTTGTTGTTTTTGTTTGCTTTCTTTATTTTCCCCACACACAAATAGCGATACATACTCTTCTTTTTTTTACGAACTCCCATTTCAAACGAACATTTTTTTCCGTAATACAAAAATTAAATAAATAACAGCGATAAAAGTTGATAGACATTCAAAAATGAAGAAGAATAAGAATGAAAAGCGTAATTTTTTGCTGCAAAAACAGAGAGAAGAAAAAGCTATAGGGAAATGTGTAAAAGCATCTAGAAGTTCAATTATATGATAACAGGGAAAAGGAAAGGAAAAAACAAATGAGAAACCAACATAAGAGAAGATTTGATGCAAAACGGTTTTAAAAGAAGATTGTTATGCGGTAGAAACGAGCACACAACTAAAAACAACTAATTTAATAAGAGAAAAAGAAGCTCTAAACTATATACCACTAGCAAAGCGAATGGATGCGATGTGATGAAATGGAATTATATCGTTTTATGTTTTCGTTTTGTGTGAGAAGATAACAAAAAAAAGAGTGAAAAGAAGAATTTGCAAACCGTTTTTTTTTCGTTTTTGTATCGTGTGCGTCGTCCTGATTGTGTGCTGTGTGCGTGTGACTTTGTTCGTCTAAACATTTTCTTCTTCTGTTCCGTTTTTTTTCTCGTTTCGTTTGTTCACACACAATCGCTATAGCTCTCTATATATAGTTTTAATAAACAATAAACGAATGAGTGGCACACAACCGTTTTAGTGAAAATGGAAATATTTTCCCCTTTTTTTGGCTTTTGTGAACGCGTGCCCACGGTTGGCTTTGGATTTGCGAAAAACGGTGGTCGTTGTTTTCGGTGAAAATGGGATTTTGTACCTAAAACGTATATTCGTCGATTTTTGTGCTGTATGCAAATTTAAAAATGACGAACTTTGCATACATCAACATGAAAAACACTATTAACCCCGAAAAATGTGCGGCTGCACCAGCTATTGCCATTCGACGGCTGACGAATAGCTGAAACGAAATTCCACAATCTTGACAAATACAGCAATTTTGAAGCGAATGCCACAAGAGAAAAAAAAACATCGTAATGATATTAAAAATGTCAGCAATAACAATGAGTCGATTGAGTCTCAAGCGACGAAGAATATTCGAGTAAAGCAAATGCGATGGAACAAAAGCGCAAAGGATGACGAAAATATTTCCATTTTCCGGTTGAGCCATTTGATGCTTATCCAAAAACTATTTTTGGCAACGACAAAAAAAGCATACATAACTGAAAACTATTTTATTGTATCAAAACAGAACCCCATTGACATAGATCCACACAAACCGATATCACAATTTTATACGCTTAATGCACCACATACACAAATACACACAAACACATACACAATCATCACATAAACAATCACCAAATCGCCCAGGCAAATGTGCTGCTAGGGCGGCTGACTCAATCGAAAGACAGAACCCAAAAAAAAACCGAGACATATACACATAGATTTATCATACAGCCCATTTGCCTCATATATTTGCTATGCACACCAAAATCATATTCCGAACGGTCCAACGTCATTTTCTGGAGCGACTGACACATTTTCGTCGTCGTCGTCGGCGGCGAGCGCATTGTACAAGCCATCATATGATAAATTATATGAAATATGAGCATTGTGATACGATTGACTCGACCAGAGGACATCCCCTATGCGATTTATCTCGATTCAATCTCTCGCAACGGAAAGGATTTGCGAAAATCCTCGCATTCAAATCGAAATATTCGGATCCCAAAACTAAACCAAACCCAAAACCCAAGCCAAACGAATGATGGGATGCTCAATTTGGTTGTTGAAAAAATGACAGAGAAAAAAGCGGCACAAAATCTCGTTTGCTCGTTGCTTGCATGTTTTTAAGAAGATAATTGGCACATAAAGGAATATCCTCGACACATAAATTCCAGCAAAATCATTGACCCATTTAAAATATAAAATCGCCAAATTCATCATCAGCCAACGAACAATTTGCGTCGCGCATTTTTCAGTCGAATAATTTATTCATTCAAATTTTTATCCAGCTTTGCTGCGGAGCAACGACGGAGGAAGAAAGAGAGAGAGAGAGAGTAAGGTTTAGGAAAGAGAGAAAGAAAACGAAAGATATAACCAATTACTATGATTACATTGTCAAAGAGTGCATGAACTATAATTGATATCGGCAATTAACCCAGTTTGTGTTTTTCGGTGGCGAAGATGGGCCAACAAATCTCGTCGCCTTCTGCGAGACTGCTGCTGCAACGGCGAGAAAACGAGTAATTAATCGTAAGGAACTGGGAAATAAGTCGAAAACGCTTTAGAACAATGGATGCACGTAAATAGCTCATATTCTTCACGCAGTCAATTAAAATGCTGCTCGTCGTCGTCGTCGTTATCGTTGCATTTCAATGAATAATTGCATTGAAAATATACATCACCGCCCTCGGTGAGACAGAGTGTGTGTGTGTGTGTGTTAACTAAGAATTTTGTTGCGAATGCGAACAATGTCGCCGACAGTCACATAAATTCTAATGCAAATGGATCTAATTTATTTGAATATATTTCGAATAATGGCCATAACACAATTATTGTGTTGTCGTTTTGTTTTGTCACCAGAAACGCTGTGACATCGCGCGGTTAATGTTATTGTTGAAAATTTGCTCATTCCAAACGGCAGATTAAACTAAAACGGATTTCGGTGTTGATTATCAAAACGAAAGAAAACAATCTAAAAGTTTTTCACATTTCAGAATGGAGCACAAGTTGTGCACGTTCTCTCTATGCAATGCACACACTCGCAACGAGCTTAATTCAAATGGATTGTTCTCCATTGTGTTGCCGGCGTCGGTAGATTGCATTTGGAAGTGAATGTTCTCATTTACATCTCACATGCTGATTTTCATTTGCATAGTCATTGTCATTGCTCTGTATGTGTGTGTGTGTGTGTGGCTGTGGATGGCCCATTTATGCGGCTCATAGTCGCAACACACAAATCTAAGCCATCATCTGAATTCAGTGACAAAAGCTAATGGAAAATGTTTCCAACTGCAACTCTTGGCATGCCCGAAAAACGTCTCAAATAACAAACATTTCAGGTAGATACACACCATTCTCTACCTCACGTGAGCTTTAAATGGCCGTATGCAAACAAATTTCCGAGAAAATTCGTAATCTTCTGTCTTCCCCCTTCGGTCTATGCATACACACACATTGAACTTTTCCGTTGCACGCTCTCTCTCTCTCTCTCTCTCTCTCTTCGACTCTCTACGATTCATTATTCATCCGATTTGGCGGCAATGGCGAACACACGCTCATACACTACGAACGCCATAACACACTTAACCCGACGAGAGCCAGAAAACCTCGCCTTGCATTCAATGAAATTGCGTCTTCACAACTATTTATCCATAATTATAAAACTATTATTTTATGCAAAATAGATGGTGTCACGTTATGTGTTATGTGCTGTTCCGTTCTCATGAACATGAGGTTGATAATCATGATGCGGTGATGATGCAGCAGCAACAGCAATAACAACAACAGCTACTACTTTTTTGACATGAAAAAGGCAAAATGACTGAAATCGTTGTTGCCGTCAATTTAGTTGATGGCCATAATGGTTGTTTCTCTCGGTTCAACTGTCTCACGCCATTTTAATTTCTTTTCTTCTCCTCCTCTCTCTTCATCACATTGCACTCGGTTGAGTCGAGCCAGTTAGAAACTGTGAGATAGAAAGGGATAAAGTTTCTTCTATAATCCACTCTGGCGGCATTAAAACGGAATTTTCCATCGATTTGCCGCTTTGCATAGAAAATTCTAGCACAAAATTTCAGCTCTTCTTCGAAAATTAAATCCTCAACACATCACATAACATATACTCACCATACTACACAGACACTAGATCACCATACACATTTTATACACATAATAATATCGCTTCATAGGGAGATCATTCTGGTTTCATTTTAGTTTCATCTTCTTTTCGATTTACACATAGACAAGTCTATATTTAGAATCGATTCAATTCGACAAACGCTTTTAGTTCGTTTATTCCTGGTTTTTATTATTAATCTATCGTTTTTATTTTTCTAATCTTGAAAACAAAAAGAACAAAACATAATCAACAAACGAAAAAAAAACAATCAAACTAATAATCATTTAGATGTGTAAAAAAAAATTGCCACAATGTATTTGGATGGTTTTATTTAGTAATTATTTTTATTGTCCTTGTCTCTTTGTGTCCCTGTTGCTGTGCCGTGTGTGCGCGCCTTCGGTGCCTTTATTGTGTGTCCTTAAACCAAAAAATTCAATATCAATTTTGAAACAAACAAAAATCATGTACACGCACACTTCATTAATTGCCAAAACCAAAAAAAAAAACTAAAAAAAAATCCTAACTAAAATCAAAAATAGCGAGTTCTGGAATTCTTTTACACCTGGGTAAGTCAAGAGCCCAACGCAACCAAACAAAAAAAAAAAAAAAAAATCTATTTTTTTATTTTCATTCTCATTCTGTTGTTAGTATTGTCCATGAACATTGTTTTCTTTTCTGTTTTCATTTCTACTTGCAACCATTCGATAGTCAAAATTCTCTTCTTCTTTCCGGATACAATAAGGAACTTTCGATATGGTTTGATTATCGATGGAAATGACATGTAATTTAAGGAAAAGTGAGATTTTTTGTAATGAAAAAGAAAGTTAAGCGATCATTTTTCGAAGCGAATAATAAAGTTTTTTTTTCAACTTTGAATGACTTTGAAAACTAAAAAAAAATAAAAACCATAAACTTTAGAAAAAGCCGTAAGACACCGTTTGAGTCAAACGAATTAAATCATCATCGATTTCCTTCTTGTATCCCATTTAATATTCTTAATTTTTCCAATTGTGTACAGAGCAAATTGGCTACATCAAAAGAATCCTAATTTTGATTGTTCATGAGAATTTTGGGTTTCGAGCTTAGATTTGATTCGAAATCATCTTGCATTTTATAAGTTTTGTGTCGTGTGTATCTCCCCGAATCCCCCATATCATTGTTTGTTCTGTTCGACTGCTCCTCATATATGTATACGTTTCAATATATCATCATTTGTATATGAACAGACCCACCAAAAAAAAAATTATGTATGTGTACATTGTATTCAATGTTTTTGTATGTTTATATTCATATCTCTATATAAAAAAATGAAAAAAAAAATCAATCTTTATTGTATATGTGTCTCGTGTCATTTTTTTTTATTTCGTTGTGTTTCTTAGTTGATTTTTTTTTCTCTCATCCACAACAACATTTTGTAATATACATTTTTGTATTCCGAAATCACATCAAACTCAAGGGAAGCATTTTTTTTCTGTAAAAACCAATCATAGAAACAGAAAGTGAAGGTGATGTGTGTGACATCGTCACTACTTCGCTTTCTCTATTGCATATACCTATTTATACATAGAATTCGAATTTTCGTAAATGAAAAACGAAACAGGAACCTTAGTTGGGATGATAAAAAAATAACGAATTTTGTGTTGTGTATCGTATTTTTTTTTTTAAAAAACCCCAAAATTGTCTTTGTTCTTTCATTTTTCATATAAATATTTACATATTTCTAAATGTTTGTGCTATTTTCATTTCTCATTCGATACTTTTCTATTCATTTTTCATTCACTGGTTTTTATTTCGGTTCGAATTGTCGAACTCTAGTTTTTGGGCTCACCGCGTGCAATATTGCAATATCGATGAAATTTTCGTGTTTATGATCACCGAAACTATTTTCAATTCATTTTTGTTTTTCTTTTATGTTTCATTCATTCAGTATAACAAAAACCAAATTTATATGTCATTGTGTTTGTCTAACCAATTCCAATATCTATTTGCATATTTCTGTATTTATCTACTAAAACCAAACAAAAAAAAACATTAATACAAATCAAATTAAAATTGATTAAATAAACCGAAAATATTTGAATAAAATTAAGCGAAAAATTGAATAAATTCATGCAAGTACGTCTATCAGTTGATGCATTGATTGAATGTCCAGCGAAAAAAAAAAACACAAATTTGTATGTAATAAAAAAAAAAACAGTCAAAACCCAAAATTTACAAATCAAGCCAATAAAAATATTTTCAATAAAATAGAAGATAAAATTTATGGACATGTAAACAAGACATGAACAAAATGAATTAAAACAAAAACAGCAAATATAGAGCAAATTCCTTGGTATTCGATCGGTGAGGTGAAACATAAACAATTGGATTATGCGTGATTTTTGAACGAGAGAGAGATAGATCGATATTTTTAACAAATGATCCAGCTCAAAATCCGAAGCGAACAGTTGTTTCAATATATATTTTTTTCATGCGGCCAACAAATGAAAAATAAAACAATATGCACTACTGAAAATTTATGAATACTTACCATATTAATGAGATTTTAACAGGATTAAATCAAATAATCTGATTAATTTGCATTCCATTTTGTGTATTCCCGTTTTATTTACCATTTTGGCTTCGGGTCGTTTCGTTTAAACATTTTTGTCGTGACCATTGAGCGAATGGAAGCCATATTTTAATGCCATATGTTGTTGTTTTTAGCTACACGCTTGCCCCGTACGATTTGCACACACGCACATCGAAGCGCGACCGTGCATATTTTTATTGATAATTGATTGCATCGCAATTCGCAACCTAAATATTAATTAGATTTTAATTTCAATTATCAAAATAAATGTGTGCCCTTGCCAAACCATTGCATAAAAATACACACGCAATTGATTTGGGGTGTCCATTTCGTCGACGGAGGTGCGGAAGTTTGGCTGAGTTTATTGAAAAGCTTTCAATTTTGTGTGCACATACAAATCAAACATTCATAGTGTCAAAACCGAAATCCAACGGGGGAAAAAATGCATCATTAACATTGGAAATGCGTATTTTTGCGGTTCCATTCCACATTAAACACATGTATACCAAGTTGAATGTTTCGATGAAATTTCACCTCATTTCCAATGCGAAAAACGGCAGCAGCCATCGCAATTTAAACGAAAATGTTATTACCTGTGTTTTTGAAGACATTAATCCACGGCTTTGTATATTTATTGTTCACCATTTGTCCGTTTTGTTTCGTGGCTGCAATTCATTTCATAAATTACAAGCAAATACTGTCGTGAACCGCTGTGTGTGTATGAGAGTGTCTGTTTGTCTGTTTTGTTTAGTGTGCACGGTCAACCATATGTGATTGTTCTCTGTGTCTGTGTGAGTGTTTGTGTGTGTGTCGCACGCTGTGTGTATTGTTTATCCTATTTTAAACATGCCTGCCGCTCTCAAATTACACGCCATTTATTTCATTTCATCCACTTACTTTTTATTTTCTCACTGAAATAATGCAAAATACGGCCGCCCCACGCATTACTTTCCCGCTAAATGACAACATTTTTTGAAGATTAGGCAAAATGAAACACAAGTTATTTTAATCAAGCATATTTTTATTATTAACCATTGCCTAGCGCGGGGTTCTACGACCTGTGGCGTAACACAAACAAACACACATACACAATAAACTCTGCACCAATTTAGCACACACGCACATAGCACATGAATGACTGCTTGTGAAATGGATTTTGTTTTAATTGCTGAACATTATCTCACGTAACATCTGTCGTGTATCCGACGCGCGATTGATTTTCTGTTGACACTTTTCACCTCACGTTAAATTAGCACCTCAAGTCTAGATGTTTCTTGGGAAAAATTGATACAAACTCAAGATAAATGCATCTTACACAACTGTCAAATTATCAATCTTACTATTCGATTGAGTGACAATCGCACTATTCGATTAAGCCGTGATGATCGCCCGTTGAGGTGACATCAATCCATACAATATAATCCCATGGATTTCATCGTCGATCATCAACAACTCAAAATAGAGCCATTTCTATGAACGCAAGCCATCAACAATATAAAAAAAGCTGTTCCATTTGACAAAGACCTCGGAAATGCTTCTTTTTTATTCTTCCAAAAGAAAAGTTTCCAATAAGAAGAACTCTGACGTCAAAGCCTGAATATCAACGTTTGCCAAGCGTCGCTTGGTAAATATTCATCACGAAATCGCCAAAATCATTCCAATAAGAAATTTCCACCCATCCCCATTGATTGGGCATAGCCTATAAAAACTTCGTAGTTGTGACGATAAAACCAAAACCGCAAACGGACTAGCAAGTAGCATCTCGATGATAATATTTAACGTTCTTTTGGTTCGACATTCATTATTATGCGTGTCACCAAGAGCCTATTAATAATACGATTTTTTCTGCCCGTTTTGTTTGGCCTCCTTCAATCATTTTAAGCGATGTTTGAAACAGCTTTTAAACACCACTTCATATTCGTTGGATTAGTTTCGACCCATTATTATTATCGATGATGTATCGACATGATCCATTTTACGATTCAATGCGCTTCGCATCGTAAGATGACATTAAGAGCGTTCATAAGAAGCGCTTTTGATACATATGACAATTACATGCAACCAACCAAATCACACTTGATGTGTAGACAAGTTTGTCTGGCAAACATAAATATTCGACCGTTGATTTAAAGACACTTTATTTTCTTAAACAAAGTCACTGCGTTTTTTCTTAGTAGAAAACTTGAAAAGTTTTCATTTTGTAAGCATGAGCTAGTTGGTACACAGCCCATTTCCATTCGGGATCGTTACATGCATGCTTGAAGGTTATTTGAATAATTCGGTTGAACGCATTTTCAACAAATTGATAAGCAAATATCGTTCTTTCTCTCTTCAAACAAAGACAAACGCAAAGAAAACACCAAATTTGCTCACCGATCGACAAGTAGGATTTGCATAAACAAAATATCCGACGAAAAAAAAACAAGAATTTTTTTCTCTTTTTATTTTCACTTTCCTCTATCCTAAAACGATTCCATTGTGAATCGATTTTCAGTTGATCGTCATTTATTTTCGATTCATGGAATAGAAGAAGCTTTCTTTTATTTTTCCGCTAGTTTATTTTTATTCTCAAGCAGGTAAAACCAGACACAAAACAAAAAGAAATCTAAACTGTATTGAACCCAAACAAAAATCCCCCAATCCTCCTCTTGTCTGCGTCTAATTATCCCGTTATTTATCTTGAACATCTATAAAAAAAATCCCAAATAAATAAAACCAAAAGAAACAAAAAACAAACTAAACTTGTTCACAAATAATAGCAAACTGAATAAATAAACGAAACTGTGTTTTGTTAAGCTGAAAACGCAAGAAAAAGAAACAAATCGAACGAAGAAAAACATCGTAACGAAAACTTAGCACCCAAATGGAAGCGCTCAGTTTTGTTTTCACCTCAAGTGGTTAGGATAGACAGAATAAGTGCATTTTATTTATCGGTCGTTAACTAGCACCGACGTCGATGAACATAGAGAATGAATTTTTATATTGTGTGATTTA